TCCACTGGGGATGGGCAACACACTCTTGGGTCTATGTATATTTCTTTTTGAAAACTATAAGAAACAAGGCCAGGTGTGGTGGCACATGCCTATATCCCAGCACTTGGGAGGTTGAGGCAGGAGAATCGGTGTGAGTTCGAGACCAGCCTGGGCTACAAAGTGAGCTCACAGCCAGCCTGAACTGCATAGCGAGACCCTGTCTCAAAAAGACACACAAAAAACTGTAAGAAACAAATCCCCACTGATTAAGTCTATGGTGCAGGATTCAGCCCGCCTCCCCAGGAGTCACAGGACACATGTGAGGTGGAAGGGCTCTGAGAAAGGAGAAGACAGGCAGCCCACAGCCCGGGGTGTGCAGAGAGACTGGCTGATGGGCTTTCTTTCAGTGTACCGAGAGGAATTATAGTTAAACAAAGCCTATTAAATAGACGTACTAACTACATTATCTACTGTCGGCCTAAGTGACCATCACGAAGTAATGGGAAGCAGCTTCAGGCGAGTCCTGTAAAGAACTGCAGCCCTGAAGGTTGTGCTGGTGGTGTAAGCGCATGTGCTTGACAGGAAAGTGCCGGTTTGGATGTGTCTTCTACCCCCGGTACTAGCTCTTGTCAAAGCACATCATGAGCTAGAACTGGGAACCACTCACTCAGGTCTGACCAGAGTTCCCTCAAAGCAGCCACAGTGAACAAAAAGCCCATCTGGAGGGTGAATTTATGACCACTATTAACATGAAACTTGTCAAACTGTAAAGTGTGCACCTTAAGACCCTAGCCAGTTACTTTTCAATCGATCTTTGTCTTGTTCTAGCCCTGTTATGTGCTGTACACAATAACCAGCCAATCTTATGACAGTGTACTTTATAAATAAGTAAATATTTATAAATTCAAACATGTTTACTTTGTGAGAGAGAAATGTTCAACATCTCTCTAGTAGAGTTTGTAACTCAAAATAGCAATGAGCTGGAACTAGTATAATCACTATGGAAATCAGTATGGAGAGTCCTCAAAAAACTAAAAATAGAAATTCCATTCAACTCAGTTATTCCCTTTCTAGTTATCTTCCCAGAAGAGTTAAAGACATCATATTACAGCGATACACGCATGCCCATGTTTATAGCAGCACAACTCAAAATAGCTCAATTTTGGAAGCGGCCTCTAGGCCCATCAGCAGATGAATGGATAAAGAAGAATGTGGTATTTACATACAATGGAGTACTACTCTGCTATAAAGAAAGATAAATTCGAGTCATTTGTAGGAAAATGGATGCACCTTGAGACCATACTGTTGAGTGAAATAAATCAGACGCACAAGCTTAAATATGGCATGGTTTCTCTTATATGAGAAACGTAAGTATAAATAAAGAGTAAAATAAAATAGGAAACAGGGAGATAGAACTTTAGCAAATGAGAAATGACCAAGACACAGGGGAACAGAGGAGGAAGGGAAGGAGGGGAAGGGGATAAAAAGATGTGTTATGTATACATACCAACTTCCCACAACAAATGGAATCATTATGTACTGCAAACCTGTGCTAATTTAAAATAAATACATACATAGAAATGAGCTTAGAGGGCATTTTGGGAGTCACCAGCATGCGGTAGTACTTAGAACTGTGGCACTGGCGGAGGTCGCCTAGAAGAGCATGGAGAGGAGGGCGAAGGACTGAGCCCTGGGAGATCAGAAAGTGGGAGAGGGGCCAGCATTCACCGTGGAAGGGAGAGCCGGCGCTGTGCAGTGTCTGACACCGCGAGAGGAGCGTGAGTCCAGGGCAGGAGCGGAGCGCCCGTGTCAGTGAGGAGAGAGGACTGGAAGGGATTTACAACATGGCGGTCATTCAGAATCTGTTCAAAGCAGTTCCAGTGGGGAGGCTGGCGTGAAAACCAGACTGAGGAGAAAATGGGAGGTGTGGAAACACAGTGTCACTCTTTCAAGGAGTTTTACGCTACAAGAGGACAAAGAAGTGAGGCAGTATCTGGCAGGCACGATGGGGTCAATGGAGAGTCTGGCTTCTGAGATGGGAGATCAGTTCAGGTGCTCTTGGAAACGACGTAATAGTGACGAGGCGAGCAGTGTAGGTCCAACAGCAGGAGCAGCACCCTTAAGGTGCTGGAAGGAAATGAGAAGAGTTGGCCTTAGGAGCCTGGGCCACCCAGCCATTTTAACAAGGGCACCTCAGAGCGTGTGTGTGCCGACGCAAGGCAGGAGCAATGGCCTGGACAGGGAGAGGGAAAGCTGTTTTCCTAGACGCCCCAGTGCCTGTGCACACCTCTGCCCGGAAATCTTGCTGCAACTCAAATTCAGCTTGTGCAAGGGGAGCACTTCTCTTCTCTTTCCTGTCTCTGGCCTTACACTCACTATTTTGAGGTACTGGGGATGGAATCCAGGGGCCATCATACTGAGCAATATTCGAGGCCTTTTGAAAAATATTTTTTAAAGTCTTGCTAAGTTGCACAGACTGGGCTTGGACTTGTGATCCTCCTGCCTCAGCCTTCCAGAATGATGGGATTACGGGCATGCGCCACCACACCAGGCTTGGCTTTACTCTGTCTACCGATGGTGTTTGGACTCTCCGTGCCCCCAAGGTTCCAACCCACAATCCTCCCTCACTTCTTCCCTCCCCTGTCCACCATGCAGCTGCAGCACCCCACGGCTGTGTCCCTCTCGCCCATCCCTGCACCCGTGTCCTCTGCCTTCTCACCATCTGTGGTCTGGATCATTGCACTAACCTCCCACTCATCCTCCCGCTTGCTGTTCTTCCTCCTCTGCCCTTTCCAGAGTCTCCTTTCTATTGTTTCTCTGATTCTTTCATCTGTTGGCTCAAAACCCCCCTTGACGCCTCTCCCAGTGCTTTGGCCCCCGAATTTAGTCTGGAGCCTCCTCTTCTGTATCTGAGGTTTCTTTCTCGTGTCCTCTTGCGAGCTTGTTTCTTTTTTTTCCCCTGCTTCTCCTATAAATCTCTTCTGATTATTTCTTCCCCAGTGATCACATTCATCTAACTATTCAACCAACCCATTGGTTTTCTCAGTGCCTCCCGGAAGGGAAACAGGGCTGGGGGAGACGAGAGCCATATGGGAAGCAAGAAGCAGCAGAGAGGCCAACTCAGAGACCTCTGAGCTCACTGCAGCCTTTCCTCTCTGCGCTCTGCTCTACGCGATCACCAAGCGCCGTGCATCCTCCCTCCCCAGGGTGTAACCCGCAGCCTTTCCCCTGCTCCACCTGCTGCCTTCATGGTCTCCATAGCTCTTAAGTTGTAACTCAAAAGTGCCCCCATAAGGCTTTTTGCCGTCAGTCCTGCTCCCGGCAATGCTGCTTGGAAGATCTTTCCACACTACATGTCTGACCTGGACGCTGCTTGATTAGATGTTGTAATGGTACTGTGTCACCTGAGGACAAAGTGGACGCTTCATAGCAGGCTCCTATGCAAGGTCTCCTGTGACTTGGCCATGACCTCGTTCCCACCCCCTCCCCCTGGCATCCAGGCAGCGGGGCGGCACCGGTGCATCAGTGATCCTCTGGGTACAGCTGGCTCCCTCTCTCCCCAGGTGCGCCTCCTCCTGCACGGTCCTCCCTCTTATGCATGGTCTGTGTCTCCCTCCTACCTTGGCATTGGCTTCTTTCTTTTGAGTTTTCTGACCCTTCCCTGTAAAGGCTAAGTGCAGCCAGAGGGATGGTGTCTTATTTATCCAGGGCCCCTTAGCACTCACCACAGAGCTGGCCCGTGGGAGGCTCCATCTGGGTGCAGGAGGGTGACGACCTAGGGCCCAGGCTGTACTCAGGGTGGGGCAGGGTGTTCAGACCGGGAGAGTTTGGGACTCAGGCTGTTGAATGCAATCTGGATTTGAATCCTGCCCCTGCTACTTAGGTGCTGGGTAACACTGGGAAAACTGTGTACCTCCCATCCCTTTGTCTCCTTATCTGTGAAGAGGACCTGATGGAACACAGACTTGTGAGGAGGACGGAATGAGGTAAGATCTGTCAAGTGCTTAGCACAGCGCTGAACACATTCTAAGTGCTCAATAAATGCCAGTGTTTTTGCATTGCTCACTGCAGTGAGCTCAACTAGTTAGGTTTTAAAATCTTTCTAATTAAAAGAATTTCCTACTCAGCCTATGTAGATTTATGGTCTTATATTGGATTTATGGTCTAGTATTGGTCTATATTACTAATACTGTACCTTTCCCTTAAACAGAAAATTCCTGTTTGATTTCAAGTAATTTCTCAATTTTGAAAGACTAAGAATAAAATGCCCAGCTCATTCCTGCCACAGGTCTTTGGCATTTGCTGGCCTCACCCCCATCTGAGCTCTGCAGCTGGCTCATCCCTGACCCCCTTCCCAAGAGCACCCTCCCACGCCTCCAGTCCTCTTGGTTTTATTATCTCTGTAGTACATAAACTTCTGGAACTATCGCCTTTCTTTTTAATTTCCACCTCCCTCTGTTAGAATGTGACAGAGAACAGGCCTTTGCTCATTATGTTTTCATGGCCTCATCCCAAGCACATGGAGTGGACATAGTGCTACCTCGATAAACACTGGTTGAATTAATTTTCCTCAGCAGCTGCCGAGGAAATCTGATGTTGTTAAAAACTGAACTAAGCTTTCTTAGTCTCTCAGGAACCCAGGCACTAAAATACTTCTCAGTTTCCTAGTTCCTGGATTGTACCTTTAAAACATCTTAGCAAGTTTTAAGAATAGTTGAATATAAAAAGATATAATATCAAGTATGTTTCTTAAATAACTTATCCTTTATCTGGATATTATGAAAGTCCAATAAACCTGAAATCTACATCATACTTAATATTTCTTTAGACACGAAGGACTTCATGAAGTACTATGTGCTTAATGAATTTGTTCCTTGTCGAATATGAGTTTTTTGCCATATCGAATATGAGTTTTTTCTGGCTAAAATTGATCACAGATGGTATAAAGGTCATTTGCAGAGCAGACTGTCTCCCAAATCCCCAAATGCCAAATTAATAAGACTTTACTATGTACAGATGAGAATAGGAAAGTCTTTAATTTGACCGGAAGTTATTATTTTCTTTAGTACAACTTGGGACTTAAAATTTTATTTCTTAAAAAAAAAGATATTGGAAAGCTGGGGATGGTGGTGCACATCTGTAATACTAGCTACTTGAGAGGCTGAGGCAGGAGACTTTAAGTTTAAGGCCACCCTGGGCAATTTAGCAAGACACAGTCTCACTATTAAAAACAAAACAAAACAGTTCAATAGAAAAACAGGCGAAGACTATGGATGTTCTCAGGAGAAATCCAAAGGACTATAGACCTAAGACAGCATGCTCACTCTTACTAATAATCAAAGATAAACAACTTAACATAATCTTTTTGGCTGATGAGCCTTGCAAAAATTAAAAAGATCAATGATAAACAACTCATGTTAGTAAGGATATGGATGCAATGCAATGCTGCAGGGAGTATGCACTGGTACTTTTCTGGGAGGGCAATCTGGCAGCATCCATCCTGGCAGCATCTGTGTTTAAATACTCATATTCTTTGACCCGGCAATTATACTACCGCAAGTCTCTCCTTCAGGAGTATGGAGAGGTACACTAAGAGGGATACTCACTGTTTTAATCCAAAAATGAGGAATAACTTCAATGTTATTGAAGGGATAAGGCTAATAAGTGGTGTCTTCAAACAAATATAGATTAGAAAGTGAAAAGAAATGAAGTAGCTCTCCTGTTAGTATGGAAAGATATCTATGATGTTCTCTGCAGTGAAGAACACTACACAGCAGTTTTCAACTTGCATTGCTATAGTTTTAAAAATGTGTTTGTTCGCACGTAAACCTATTTGCATCACAGCAGCAAAAGATGCTCTTTGCCGACATAAGGCAGAAAACTCTTTCTTCTCTGTGCAAAGCCCTCACTCTCACCCTTTCTCATTCGGATGCAAAGTCAGAGTCTGCACCAATTTCCGGCTCCTGGGCTATCTGGGCTTCTTCCGTCATCGCTCTGCATCGCTGCCTCTGCTCTCATCACCCCGGGCTTCCTTCCAGTACCTCTGGGTGTTTCATTTGCAGCTTGTTCCCTTTGCCAGGAACTCTCTTCCCCGCACATCCCCATAGCTTGCTTGCTCCTGACCTTTGCATCTCTGACCAAATGACACTGCAATGAGGCCCTCTCTCATCACAGCCCGTGTTCTGAGGGAATGGGCTCCTCCTCACCCCTTACCTTGCCCGGGGACTTTCTATTCTACTCCCCTGACCATCTGCCGCCATCTGCTACATGATGGATGCCCTTGTTTATGGGTTAGCTGCCTAGCTCCTCCCTTGGAATTATAAACTCCAGGAGGGCTGAGATTTTTGCTTGTATTATATTGCTGGATTCCTGGCACCCAGAATGGTACCTGGCACACAGTAGGAGCTTAATAAATGTTTACTGGAGAAATAAATAACATTTCATTTTTACAGATGCACAGAAACAGATGTGAAAAATACTCAACAAATTTTAATAGCTGTTACTACTGGGAAGTGGGGTTGGGGCCCTGTGAGGAGAATTCTCACCTTTACTTTATACCTTTCTGTACCACTGGGAACATGGACCATTTTTGTAATTAAAAATGAAATTAAAGTATTTTATTTTATTTATTTTTTTTTTTTTAATTTTTTTTTTATTTTGAGATTGCATTTCACTGAGTTGCCCAGGCTGGGGTCAAACTCAGGATCCTTCTGCCTCGGCCTTCCAGAATGCTGAGATTATAAGTGTGTACCATACCATCTTGCCTGGCGAAATTAAAGTATTTTAAAAGATAAACATAATGGCTGAGGGGCTGGGGATTTAGCTCAGCGGCAAAAGCGCCTGCCTGGCAAGTGCAAGGTCGTGAGTTCGGTTCCCGGTACCGGAGAAAAACCAAAAAAAAACATAATGGCTGTATTTCCCCTCCCAGATCATTCATAACACTTTTCTGAGGCTTTACAATGGTTTGGCTATGGCCTAAGTGTGTTCCCCAAGGGCTGTGGTGAGAGTCACTGTGAGGTATTAAGAAGGTGAAAAGTTGGAACAACTAAGAGGTTAGAGGTGGGGCCTGTGAGAGATGATTTGGATGAGACAAGGCTATCAGGGTAGAGGCCCCACGATTGAATCCTGGTGGCTTTATAAGAGGGAGAGAGTAGTGCCAGCTACTTAGGATGCTGAGGCAGGAGGATCACTTGAACCCATGAGGTCAAGACCAGCCTGAAAAGCACAGTGAAACCTCATCTCATAAAAAAACAAGTGTGTGTGTGGGGGATCAGAAGACACATATGCTTGTGCCCTGTCTCTCACCATATGATGCCCCATGCCTCCTCGAGACTCTGCCACCAAGAAGACCATCACTAGATGTGCCCCCTTGACCTTGGACCTCCAGAACCATGAACCAAAATAAACCTCTTTTGTTTATAAAGCTATCCCCCCTTAGGTATTTCATAACAGTAACAAAAACTAGATTAATATAGGCTCCTTTCTGCAGACACAGAAAATAATTTCAAAAAAGAACTAAGACTTCTCTACCGTAAACTTCTCTTTACTGTATATACCATACACAATTCAGAAAATACCAGCAATTCTGATCTTTGTGAAGCTCTAACACTCTCAAATAGACCAGGAATGTAACACATGCAAACATACACACATATTCTCATACACACTATGCCATGCGCCTGCTAGCTAAAATTCCCTTCTAATTAACACATCCAACCCTTCTCTGAATCTACTTCCTCCCTCCGGCAGAAAGAAGGAATGTCACTAATTCCTTATGTTATTTTCTCTACACAGTAAAGTCAAACATTGCTGTCAGACAGGGTAGACCTGATACAGTCCCATGTGGGCTACAAAATTCATTTAGTGTTAGAGGGAAGACGCATTCTCTCTCTTAGAAACAAATCCAACTGAATTATTTAGCATGAGAGGTATTCAAGGGACACAGTCACACAGCACCATAGGGACAAAGCCCTCCAATGAGTGTCCTTCTGTCATGGTCACTAGGCCTCTGTCAAGTGACCCTCCTCTTCTCCCTGGGCCTTGATTTCCCAGAAGCACACCCAAGGCATCATTAGTAATATTCTGCTGGGAGCCGGTTCATGGGCTTTGACACCAGGTTTTCCTGTATTCTTAACTAGCCACAAAGACTCTCTGGTGATCCCACAAGGCCTCACCCCAACACCACAGCAAATGGAGGGAGGGATGCAGTTCAGCTCTGAGAGTTCAGGAGAACCAGCCTGCCTTTCCTGGGAGTTCCTTCAACTCCCCTGAAAAGCAGGGCAGCCACGGGCAGCTCTCACCACTCTTTTGGTATGGAAGCTGGACTCAGAATTTTGAGTGAGAACCAACCAACCAGCTGGGTTTTTGCTTTTCTTCTTCTTTCTTTTTAAGGTCAGCTGGAATGAACGTCAAAATTATCTAGGAACCAGCCCCTTGTGGACAGTTGCACTTGATTATCACTAAGTTATGGCAAAGCGACAGATTCAAGTTGTGGCAGTGCTGCTGACAGTTCTCCAGGACAAAGCTAGGTTTGGTTTTGCTTATTCAGAAATGCTGACTTGTTACTCCTTACCTAACCTTCATTTCTGAGGCTTTGTGATTCTTCTCACACTTCAGAAATGACGTCTACTGAAGGATCTGGTTATTGAATTCCTCTTACTTGGGGCAAGAGCACAGATTTTGGAATTAGACCACCAGTGAGGGTTTTATTGGGGGCAGGGGTGGGGAACTGAGTACTGAACCAGGGCCTTCACAGTGAGCTCTAGCCACTGCCTTTTCAACTTTTTTTCTTTAGCCAGAGTTTCACTACATTGCCCAGCCTGGGCTTAGACTTGTTTTCCTTCTGCCTCAGCCTCTCAGAAAGCTGGGATTATAAGCTTGCACCACCATGCCTAGCTCTATCGATGAGATCTTAACAAGAAAACATCTCTCTGAGCTTCATTCTTAAGTGGAAATAATCACCCTTACCTGGTAGGTTACCTTTGGGATTAAATGAGATAATGCATACTCAGGGCTCAGTGTTGTACTTTTTAACAGATAGAGGACTCAATAAATCACCATTACTACCAAAAAATGAGACCCTGATTTTCCCCATCTGATGCTTTTCAGGTAGTGTCTCCCATAATTGCCCTGAACTGTCTCTCAAGACAAACAGGTCTCAAAACTGACCACTCTGAAACCTCTTGTGCCCGAACCTCTTGCCAGATGTATCAGAGGACTAGAACCGATATTGCTAGAGTGCTGGATCTCACGGTTAATTCTGAAACACGCATGCACACCGTGCACGCATGCACCCAGACCCACGACATTTTGTGGAAGCCTAGGGGGCTAGGGCTGAAGCTCAGGAATCTCACTAGGCAACTGAGTGGCCCCCAGCTTTCCTCTGCACAAAACTGTGACAGGAGTTTGTTCACTGCCGCCAGTGGTCAAAAGAAGGACATGATTACAAGAACTAATGCGATAACAGTGTGGAGAAGGCTTGGGGCTCCTCATACCCTGGCCTGCTGTGGCTCAGGGATGCTGCTCTGAAGACAACCAACCCTCAGGTCCCTAAAGGGCTCCGATTCCTCTTCTCCCCAATCCGGCCTTTTCCTCTCCGTCCCTCAACTCAACAAACATGGACTTCAGGCCCCACCATAAGCCAGGAACTGGGGAAAGAGGTGAATTTCGCTTAGTCAGCCCCTGGGAGCTCCCAGTCTTGTAAGCAGGACAGCCACCAGGACAGTAGTTACCAGCAGACAAAGGCCATCCAGACAGTTCTCTGGAAAAGGAAGGACCGCCCAGACTTGCTGCTGGCTACCCTTAGTTACCCGGAGCTCAAGGCAGTGCCCTTAGCAGGAATGTTGTGGGCTACTCACCACACTGGTTTTCTACATGGCCCTGGCCCACTCCACAGGACTCGGTCCGCCGCTCGGATGCTCTGGGAGACTTTTTAGCCACATCGAGGTCCATGCCTGAGAGCTGGAGGTGAAACTGCTCCCTGTGCGCGGCCTTCCTGAGCGTGCGGAGCGCCTTCCGCAGCCGCTTCTCCGTGCGCTTTGCGATGCAGCTCAGGTCACAAGAAGCTGCAGAAACAAGAGGGACAGCAGCTCGGGAGGAGGTCAGGCCACGGGGAGCGGGGGTATCCACACTAACTGTAGGGCCCACCAGCACCCCGAGATCCCAGTGGATCGGAAGGGGAGACACCTGGAGGTGGGCGCCTAGCAAGCTGGGCAGCATTTGTTCAATTCCGAAAGAAATTTGTTGACCAAAACGGTAGCTTTGAGTTTTCATGAAGCAGAGAAAATCATCAGGTCAGGTTCTCAACCAATTTCGTGTAGTTTGGGGATGAAAATAAAACAGGAGATACTTCAGTGTTTGCACTATTTTTCCTCCCAGGAATGATGAAAAGTGAAAGGCAAAGAAAGAAAAAGCAAGCTGTGAGAAGCCTGGCGCCATAGTGGCTTTCAGACCAACCTGTCACCTCCTTTTGGTAAGTTTCACGCTCAAACTCAACAGTGAGAAACATTTCCTTGGGGGCGCTTGGTCGGCCAGGGGCTCCCGGGACTTGCTTGCCGGAACTGCATGTAAGGTTTGCGTAGCGGAAGCTCTCTTTTACTGAGCTGTGCTTCTCTGTATGAAGAAACAAAATTATCGGAAGCCAAGTCCTAGCAAAGCACTCATTTGGACGTTCGCTAGAGCTCAGTAAACATTTCATTAAAACAACTCTCCAGGGACTGTGTGATTAACTCCACATGCTAAGACGTTGCAAGCCCCCAGCTAGGAGCTGGAGGACATTTTCATTTTGAAGTGCCAGTACTGCCTCCTATATAACTTTACAGTCTAGCTCTTGAAAATTCTTGTCACGGATAAATGCTGCTGTTTCTGACTGACCAGCCACGCAGGCGGGAGGAGGCACCAAGGGGCCTTTGTGCATTCCTTCCTTGCTAAGGTGCGCTCCCATTCCTTCTCACAGCTGGTTTCCTCACAGCTGGACTCTGATGGCCTGAGCAGGGGCCGAGGTCTTTACAAAGGGGATGAGCTCAGCGGCAGAAAAGAAACCAATTCCTGTTTTCAGGCAAACTAATTTTGGCGTGATTCCAGCCCAGAGGGCGAGCTGGAAAGCTCATCCACAGTGATGTCTCTTTTTCACATCACCACGAACAATACGTGGCACAAAGAATCAGCAGAACCAAACAGTATCCTGACCGGCATTGACAATGATGGTGGAAGTTTCACGTAAGGAGGGCTTTGTACATCCCCATTTCCGACTTTGGCTGTCTCCCCTGCCCCGGCGGCTTCCCCTAAGTCTGTTGACTAATGATTGTGAACCCAAACCAAAGAGCAGATCTCCATACCCACACAATGAATGTGTCTCTGTTTCAAAATCTGACTTTATCCAACTGAAGAATTATCTGCGTGGTATTCTTTTACATTACAAGGATGTTCAAACCAACAGGTCATGGGGATGGGAAGGAAAGAGGCAGATTCATCCTCCTCTATATTCTTCCCTCAAAGACGTATTTTACATTTTTAAAAAGCTAACTTCAAATTATAAACTAAACAGACATTCATTATGAGCCTCTTTCTTTTCAATTTTCCTATCTGTATTTTTAAAAATCATTTTATTTTTAAGAGTTTCGATTTATAAAACTTGCTAAGATAGCATAGAAAGTTCCCATATATATTCTCCACTCAAGTTTCCCTTAATGTTAACATTGGACTTTAATATCATATTTATCAAAACTAAGAAATTAAAGCCGGACATGGTGGTGCATGTCTACAATCCCAGCACTCAGGAGGCTGAGGCAGAAGGATTGCTGTGAATTTGAGGCCAGCCTGGACTACCTAGTGAGTTCAAGGCCAGCCTGAACTACATAGGGCAACCCTGTCTCAAATAAAACAAAACAAAACAAAACAAAAACCGCTAAGATACTGGCAGTGGTACAATCCCATAAAGTCAAGTCCAGGCCATATAAATGCCCACTGTGGAGACTATGGAAAAAGAAGAAAAACTTAAAATTACCCATCATCCTGTCACCTAGATACAAGCACTCCTCATGATACAGTGAGCTTTTTTCTTTTCTTCATTTGTTCAGGCACATTTGGGATTGTGTTAGATGTACAAAATGTTACGGTCCCTTTTTGTATTACAACACTCTAACAAGTATAATAAGTACATTTTCTTCTGTCATCAAACATTCATTGAATACAATTCAGTTGATAGCAGCATACAATCCCATCAAATGGAGAAACCAAAATGGATCTTGGTTAGTTACCAATAGGTATCAAAAGTGAACAGTGAGCTTTATGTTTGTGTGATTTATCTGAGGGTAGGTTGGGAAGGAAACCTCCTAATAAATAAATCCTGATGCTTAATCACCTACAGTGTTCTCCAATACATTACAGGAAATGTGAACTAAGGGAAGAAAGAGGAGCACTACATCCTGCTCATATCAGTAAGTCTGGTTATACGTGGATGGTAGTTGTTTTGCTTGGAATCACAGCTTCCAAGAACTAGACCCAGTAGGGATCCTGGGTATTACATCTTTGCTCATCGACGTTATCATATCTGAGCCAAACTTTTTTTTTGCGGGGGGTGGGGGTGGGGCGTACCAGGAATCAAATTCAGGACCTCACACTTTCTGGGCAGGTGTTGTACCACTGAGCTAAACCTCTGGCCTGTTTTTTGTTTTCTTTTTCTTTTTCATTTCTTTGGCTTATGTTTCTAGCAAACATTAAGATCTAGAACATTTAACCCAATATGATCACAGATGGGTAATTCATCTCAAGCCCTTATTGACTCCTGTCAACTCAGGGTTCTCCAGAACTCAGCAACTCCCTCTTAAAGGAAGCCCTGCAGTATAGTCCTAGAACTACACAGGGGTGCTTAGCCAGGCCCTCCTTCCTCTGGGATCAAAGTCCCTGCAGACTCTGAAGTGCTCCTGAGTGAGCTGGACAGTTGTCCATCCACCCTCAGACCTCCAGCTCGGCTCAGCCCCTTCCCGACACGCAGGCAAGTTCCAGCGTCCGACATGCTGGCAAGCAGCGGCCATCTGATTCCATACCTGGTAGTGCTGGTCGCAGACCCTCAGGAAACAGCTCGGCCTTTTTCAAACTACACTTGCCTTCATTTAGCTTAAAGGTTACACTTGTCCTGATGGTGGTGACATCTTCAGAAAGAAACAAGTGAGAGAAGTTACCTTCGGAGGCAAAGGAAGAGAAGAACCAGGGGGGCGATGGCGAGCTGTCCATTGGGGGGACCCCCCAGTGTCACACAGCCTAAGCCCAGAAAAGGTTGGATCGTGGAGTGCCCATCAGCCCGGAGAGCAGATGCCTGGAGCCAGGAGTCATCCTTATTCCCTCCTGGGAGACATGAATCCAGTGTTCAAATACAACAAACAGAGGGCTCAAACAGCCTTCACAGTGAGATAAGAGATGAGGTCACTTGTGGGCCATTTCTGTCGGGGAGATGGAGAAGAGCAGACGTTCCTACGCCTGCCCTGGCAGGACAAGGCGCAGGGAGCTGCCATTCCAGGAGTGGTTAGATTTCCAGGCCTGGCAGGGAGCAAGGGCCCTGCCTTTAGGAGCTGATGTGCAGAATTCTGTTCTCCTCCCAGAATCTGTCTTAAGCACATGTTAGGCTCTGGAGTCTATGACCTAGATGTAAATTCTAGCTCTTTGACTTGTGGTGAGAACTCGAGAAAGTTCCTTAATCTATGTCGCATAATTACGCATCTATATTACCAGGCTGTTCTGAGGATTAAATGAGATAAAGCAAAAGAAGATAAAAAAAAAAATTTAGCTCAGTGCCTGGTACAAAGAAAGAACTGAGTAACTGCTAGCTGTTTGTCTGTCTACTCTTAGAGTAGCCCAAATCACCAAGGAATCATCTCTGAGGAATTTGGTGAAACAGACCATGATGAACCTTCTGGCTGCTCTGAACATCTGGCAAAAAGAGCAGGAAAGGATGGTGCTTAAGACTCTGAACCTAGACTGCCTGGGTTCAAATCCTGGCTCCTCTATTTCCTATCTGAGCAGCTGGTAAGTTAGCTCACCTCTCTGAGCCTAAGGTTGCCTGGTTAATGAGGATAATAAAAAAACTGACCCAGAGGGATGCAGTATAGATTAAATCAGCGAACACACAATAAGGTAGCTGGTATATTTTAACTGCTCACTTGCTGTTTGCTTTGGGTCACTAGCTTCGCTTATAAATGTTATACAGACATCAAAATGGCATGTGGGCCAGGTGTGGTGACACAAGCCTATAATCACAGCACTCAGGAGGCTAAGGCAGGAGTTCCCTACGAGTTCAAGGCCAGCATGGACTACATAGTGAGACCTTCTTTCAAAACAAAAATGATACAATACGAGCTTCATTCAAATGCTCTCAAGGCATAGTAACAAATGGATCAATATCTAGGAGGAGGAGACCTCCTGAAAACTCTGGATTTTATTCTGAGTCTTTGGACAAACTGGAAAAGGTATGGGTCTCTTTCTCAGGACAGAATCCCTGCTGCCCCAGGCGTGTCTCCTGCAGGGCTTTGAGGTGCTCTGGGGAGCCAGAAGTTTGGGAGCCCTGAGTGCCCTGGCTCCAAGGCTCTGTGGGCCTCTTCGCAGAATGATGACCACCAGAATGAACACAGCACACAGGGGACGCTCGGTAAGTGACAGTTGTATGGGCAAGTTAGATTTCAGGCACCAAGTTAGGTGCAGCAAGAACAACCTGTCGCATGCTCACAGCGTGGAGATTAAGGAAAAAAAGAAACACCCAATAAACATTCCGATAAGCTAACACCCAAAAACAGCACCTCATGAATGAACGCCATTGAGCCCAGGAAGAACACACGGATTTGGTAATTACCCCCAAAAGCAGAGTCATTTGATTTTTGCTGTTTGTTCCTGAGAGGAGAAGAAGAGCCGCAGGTGACAGAGTAGGCCTCGTGCAGTCCTGATAGACAGAATGTGGATTGCAACATGAGTAAGCAAGATTACAGGCCATCCTGCTAGCAGCTAATATTGCCCCAGTCCTACTCCCCATATGATGCTAGAAAAACACCCAGCCTATGGGGTCCCCAAGGACAGGCCTCTAGTGGTCAGGAAGTACCTGGCCAAGGACACGAAAGACCTCTGAGAGCATCCGACATCTACAGGCCAGGAAGCTGCTGCCCTGGCCTGAGGATCTGCCCCAGGGACTGGGCCCCACTCACCTGAAGAGAGGCGGATGCCAGAGTGACATCTTAGGAAGCACCTGTCTCCACCACTCTTACTGCAAAGCAGGGACACGTGGGGCGACACACTTGTGGGCGGGAACCCCTTCACTTCTAAACAGGACAAAACACAGACACTTACAGAAAGAGAAGGACATTTCCAAGTGTGACAAGGATGGCTGCATTACATGCACCAAAAGCCTCAAGAAAAGAAGGTGGAGCTGATGCCCATCTGGAATACAACCCCAGGCCTCATTTCCCACCGTGGTCCACGATATTGTATGCTATTTTTTCATGCAGAAAAGCAACCAGCAAAACAGACACGAGTTCCAACCTACACAGAAGCACAGAAGGAAATGCCAAAGAGCCTGCAAAGTATCTCCTGTTTTTGGACTGAGTAAAGACCAGCCGCTGCCGCTGATAGGGGAGAACTCAGTGGGAAGTGAGGGGCACTGGGCACAGTGGGACATGGAGCCCTCACAACCTCAGGCCTCTGGGCCAGCAGTGAGCACCCCTGGCTGAGCCTGTGCCAATGTGGGCACCCCTTACCCACACAGTCCTTTTTGTTCCAGTGGAGTTTGTAGCCCGGATAGCACTGGCACTCGTAGTCACCCACTGTGTTCACACAGACCTGCTGACAGCCACCGTTGTTGTCGCTGCACTCGTTGGTGTCTGTGGAACAAAACGCTTCCCTGTCACAGCAGCACAGCACTGAATGGCTGACACTGTTCCTCTGCTGAGGAAGAGGCAGCAGTGGAGTCACGTGGTTGGAAGTCACCAAAGGGACGATGCTCCTTGCCTTTGGAACATGCGTGTGGCATCTGCTGCACACACACCCCACTCCCTGATGTCAGGAGCCTCTCCAGCAAGGTCTCGAGTTCCATCCTCGACCAAACCACTGCCCCATTAGGGACAGTAGAAGGGACCACACTCTACTTTCAGATGTCCAAACTGAGACACTACATGGGATTCTAATTTAAAACTCCACCATCCTCTGGTCCAGACAGCAGGGAGACAGAAGGAAGACTCTCTTCTTGACCCCACAGCTAAGAAACAGAGAGGGGAAGAAGTCTGCACTGATCTCTGTCAACCTGAGACTGAATCCAGGTTGGAAGGTGGCTCCACCTTAACCTAGATTCATGTCTGTCTCAGGGTGGCTTTTGTTGGCATTTCCTGGGGGGCTGGGAAGGGTACTTTTTAGCCAGGCCAAGGATGTGTTGAAAGGAAGGGAGACAACAGTATCTACAGCAAAGCACCACCACCATCCACTGATCTCCAAGCACAGGACACAAGGATTGGGCAAAAGGTATCCTGGCCAGTGGTTCCCCAATCCTGCAGATCCTGAGAATCACCTAGGAGAGCCTAAAAATTCTGGCTGAAATCTCTGGAGTCAAATCTTTTGTTTTGTTTTCCTTTGCTTTGGTGTAGGGTAGGGGTGTGTGTGTGTGTGTGTGTGTGTGTGCACCCATACTGTTTTTGTTTTTTGAGGGTGGGCCTTTCTAAATTGCCCAGGCTGGCCTTGAATTCACGATCTTAAATGCCTCAGTTTCCCAGGTGCTGGGATTATAGGTAGGCACCACTATGGAATCTGTATCCGTATTCTCAAAGATTTCTGGGCAAACCTGATGGCCAGGTGAGTGAGAATTGTTGGTACCAAATCTGTTTATGCTACTGCTTGCTTGACCATAAGCCGAAGAGACAGGAGAACATGTCGCTAAGTGGACAGAGTGGAGAGATAAACTCAGCAGTTCTACTTCCCGCTCAAAGACCCAAGCTGTGGGCTCAAGCTGAGGCTTTGCAGCCAGTGCTATGCACAGCTGGGTTGAGGAACTGTTTGGTGCCTGCCACGCCTCTCTGAGTGCTGCATCTTTACAGTCTGCTAGGAAGTCCAGCTGATGGGTCTCAGCTCCTGACAGACCCCCACCCCCATTCCCTGAATATAGCCCCAAGTCAACAAAGTCAGTGACAAATCCACAGCTGAAAGAGCTTAGCTCCTCTCTGCTCCATTTCACTTGTGACATGCTAAAGGTATCCACGTGGACAGATCCCTTTAGCAGGTGCTTCCCTGGAGTGGAAGGACTTGTTGCCCCTGGACAGGGGCTGGAATGTACCTTTGTCCCTAGTATAGGAAAAATCTCCCACCCCACTCCCTTCAGACCCAGCCTCACCCCACCTCCCAGCCCGAGAGAGGTGGTCCACTCACCTCCACAGTGGGTGAAGCCATAGAGGGTGTACCCTCTGTCGCAAGCACAAGAAAATGTGCCAGGGTGGTTGAGGCAGCTGTGATCACAGGTCCTATCCAAAGAGCACTCGTCCACATCTGCAATTGCCAAAGCGAGAGGGGAGCTGCAACCAACTCTGATGTGAACGGAGAGGTTCCTAATGCACACCAACCGCAGACCGACAACGGAAACAACACACAGGAGGGGAAGAGTGTTCATTCTCCTCCCTCACTGTGTCCAAGAAAGTGTTGAGCAGCCCACGATAAGTATAAGCAAGGCCAGGGCCCTTGTTTCCGAACTGTGTTGCAAACTGCACTTTCCTTGAAGCTCAGTTGGTCTTTTGCTCATGCTTATTTGCAAGGGCGAGTAATTTAAATCATATAAACACCTAAAAAGAGTTTCCGCAAACTATATAAGGCTAGCTATACATTATTAGGGGTATATTACTACTACTACTAGTAAAACAGCAACCACAATTTTTTAAGCTATGGTGAAATGAAAGGAGAAAACACTTGGATTGGAGGTAAATCTGGTTCCCATCTCTTTCTGATCTTTCCAGAATCAGTCTTCTGGTCCCTGGCAATTAAAATCCTGGGTTTTAATGCCATCTGCACTGAAAGAATGCATTCACACGAATATTCTCAGTGCTGAAACTCAGTGGTTAAACGCTAAACAGGATCCACTTAGCCAGTCATTTGGTTTTGTGCCACTTTCTACCTGGCCCTGAGTGGCTGCACCTTTGGCTGCAGCTGGAGCCATGCAAGCCAGCCTCTGAGGCCGCATTTGTCTATCTCATCAGCTCTTCCATGGTCTGGCCCTCACCTCTTTCCTGTGAGCTAGAGCTGTAGTGCTTCATTCCCTGAACTCTTTGGGGGTTTTAACAGTGACAGCTTGTCTCTCCGAACGGGTAAACCAGGACTCAGACAGCACTCGGGGAAAGCCAACCAGACCATCAGGAGGCCACTTTTTCAACACCAAACGTGTCATGAGAAACTATGTTAATAAAAAGCAAACATTTAGAGGGATCAGGAGGAATGAAAAAGTGAAATAAAAAGGGCAATTTCTTGCAAAACCTTTCCATCCCTAGCTTTTCCCAGAAACCCTGGCTTTTTCTTCTGCAAATGTGTTCTCTGCAAATATTTGTTCTACAAAGACTGATCAGTGAAAAATGAGAAAAAGTCCGTTTCTTCCCCGGTAATTGATGCCATTCTGTGAAATCTGTTATTAATATCAGCTATTTGCCAAGAAAGGGACTTGTTCAGTAGCTGACTTTGGCTGCTTGCTATGGGCTTTTGCTTTGCCAAAAATAATGAGATCACTTTCCTAATTCTTTTTTAATGTGTTTACACAGCTTAAACAGCAATGCTTGCTCTATACATTATGAAACATTAAGTGGAACAGAGAATTTGCTTTCCAAGTCAAACTGCAGAAAACCACACAATAATCATCTAGAGTTAACTCACTGAATTTAAAGAAGAATATACTTGAACTGGCTGGCAAATTATGTATTAAGAACAGACCAAAAGGAAGAAAAACATAATTCAGACCATAAAGTTTTTTTAAAAAGACATGAACTTCTTTATCATGTGACATGAAATCAGATTTTATATTCTGAGTTTTACTTACTGCAGATATTTCTAAAAAAAAAAAAAAAAAAACTACAACAGTTCTTATTTCCAGAAACAGAACAGAAATAGTTAGATAGCCTGTATATCCTGACAGCTTTCTCCTGTACAGCAATAGAACATAAATGGTGCTTCACCAAAACATATAAATGATGACATGACCTCAAAAGAGGTGTGAACACCAAATGCTGCCAAGGAAGTCCCCCTGCTGCCTCCCTTACTTGGGAAGGATGCATTTGATAAGGGGTCCAACCAGTATCTCTTTCCCACGATCCCCTCCTGCCTTTGCATCCTCTCTCTCTCCAAGCATCAAAGGCTGGTCATTCAAAAAAAGGCTATACGAGCCAAGTGTGCTGGTGAGTGTCTGTAATCCTAACTACCTGGGAAGCTGAGGCAAGAGGACTGCAACTGTGAAGCCAGCTTATGCAACATAGCAAGACCCTGTCTCAAAATTTAAAAATTAAAAATGAGCTGGGGATGTAGCTCAGTGGAAGGTCCTCGGTTTAATCCTTAGTCCCCCCACTTAAAAAAGGGGGCTACAAATCGCATACCAACTGGTTCATGGTCTTGATTATGGACTGACCCCAACTTTTTGCGAGGAAGGTATGTTACCTACATGTACATATTTTTGGCAGCAAGTTTTGTCACAAATTCAATAACATTAAAGAAAATTTTAGAAAAGAAAAATTATTCATAATTTCAGGGCTAAGGATGTAGCTCAGCTGTATGGCACTTGCCTAACGTGCACAAAGCCCTGGGTTTGATCCACCAGCACCGGAAAAAAAAAAGAAAAAGAAAAAGAAAGAAAGAGAAAGAGAAAGAAATAAAGTTATTCATAATGTCAACACCCCAGTGCAACTCTGCTTGAAGTCTGTATTCCATTCCATTTCTAGCAGCAAGCTCTACTGTAATCTCCAGATGGATTCTTTAAGGTGTTCTCTTATCATTAACAGCTTAATCTACAAAATATGTCTGTGAGCCCCATCACTGGTTTTACTCTACCTAGCAGATGGGTTACGTGAAGCCTGGACTGGATCAGCGACTGCTGGAATTAGCGACTCTGTCAGGAAGCTGGGTGAGCTAGTTTCTACCAAAGCGCTGGTGGTGGAGGTAGAGTTAACATCTTCCCTTTCAACCAGAGGCCACAGCACAGCTATATTTTCAGCACGTACCTTGGCAAGACTTCTCATCAGTTAATAATTTGAATCCTTTTTTGCAGCTGCAGTCAAAACTGCCCACAGTGTTTTTGCAGAAATGATCACAACCTCCATTTCGAGTCTGGCACTCATCGATATCTGTAACAGGCAAGCACTGGGAAATCAGAGAACTATATTTGCCTCGCTTCCTACAAATTGCTGGAGTGCTATTGCCTACGTTCATTATTCTCTGAAATAAAGACAGACCCATAAAGGCATTTAAGAATGTCTCCTGATGTTTTGGATCTTACACAGAGTTCCTCATCTTGGCTGAACCAGTTTTGAAGGACAAATGTCTCATCTTGAGAACGCTGACTTCCAAAGACCTTGCCAAGCATTAGGTAAACAAAGGATGGGAAAGAGTCGTGACAGCCGCTTATACTCTCATCCCTGTGGTACTCATGCAAGATAAGAGAGCTCCCGTTAGTATACTTTCTCTTCTAGCTTAATGATTAAAGCTATAAGGGAGTAGAGCATTTGTTTTGGCAAATTGTATAATGATCAAATAGCTTCAACGTTTTTTAAATGATTCCTGATAATCTTATCTTTTTTCCGCTTTATCTGGTAACTGGTTATCAATCGTTTATCACTAATCCTTTGTACTCTTGCCCGTGAAATAATAGCAAGTCACTGGGGTCTGTCGTCATCAGTAAAAGTTAATGGTACAGTTATTCATTAAGTTCTCTGGATAATAATCTTCACTGCTATTTACATAATAATCTCAAGGCTATTATTTATGACAGATTGATATTATCTCCTGCCAATGAATATTTCCTTGAACTGCCTTTTTCTAATAAGGCCACACCCCAAAATGGATCATTTGAAGCTTGACCTTCTCAACAGTTAGTATAATTAAGATGGCTCTAATTAAGCTTACTCAATTATAACCGTCCACTAGCTCAGGGGGAAAACTCCCATCAATATGAATCATAAGCAAATCTGGAATCACTCTCACACATCAGCAGCATGGGGCTGCCTCGGCAACACACGTGGTGAACACTACCTTTACACGTCTTTCCATCCAACTGGAGGGTGAATCCGACCGGACAGCTGCAGTGAACACCGGTCGAGGTGTCCTTACAGGTGCGGTCACAGCCTCCATTGTTCACAGCACACGTTTCTGACCAGGTAGAAAAGGCAGTTAGTTAGCTTTCCAAAGAAGTAGCGATACAGCTGTTAATATTTGACAAAGTTTGTGAAGGCCAGAAAGCACGATGGGGTACCCCTGGTCCAACCCCAAGTCTCTGCCACCTGCAGGTGAGATGGATGGGGAGCAGGTGTGGCTCCTCCCACCCACCAAAATGATTGGTATTTCCTAAGGAAGCTGGTCAGGATGGCCAGAGGGGTGAAGATGTCTCCCAATCCCCAGAATGGTTCCCCACTATAGGCAGATTTAAAGCTATTAGAGGTTCGCGTTAATCCACAGCCAGCAACCAGCTCAGTATGACCACAGTGGCAGACTGGCTGCACATGCAGAACAGGGCCACAGGGGAATGCTCCATTCTTAATCCCAAACCTTTTTTCAGCCTGGGTGCTCAGGATAGCAAGAGAGAGAGACAGTAAGCATTGTCTACCCAACCGTTCCCTTGTTCGGACTACTGGCTTCAGCCCTGCAGCTGCCAATTTACTCAAAGTTTAACTTTCCCTGAAACTAGAAAAAGGCCTGTCATATCCATGTGAAAAATAAGCCACAGTTGTTAAATTTCTGCTTTGCCAATAATGAACAATAAGCAAATGGCCTTATAGTTCTGCTTTTCATATAGTTATCCCAAGTAATAAGCAAGTGCTATTCAACATGCATTCAGTTGCTAGCACATGGGGACTGAGAAACATCATTTTCCTTCTATGGCTATATTGTTTTAAGGCTGAGGGAACAAGCTTGGTTCTAATGAAATACAACAGCTACATGTTTATCTGTTTCCTCTTGAAATCTCACTGAAACGAGACAGAGTTTTAAAAAGACAAAGAAACTGGGAAGAAGAGGCAATAGATAAAACATGTCACATATTCTGGAAATGGCATGTGAAAGAAAAAACCAGTTACCTAGTGGAGCAAAAAGCCAAATCCTAGGGGTCTGCAGAGGGGCCACCAACAAACTGTAAAATCATGGAGCCACAGAATTTCAGAAAGGCCCAGAAATCAGTGGTAACAAGCTACCCCAGAGGCAGAGCCAGAGACGAGGATGGAGTTAAGACGGATCAAGAGCCCCTCCCTATAAGAGACAGATATGCCGGGCGTGGGGCGCAAGCCTGTAATCCCAGCGCTCAGGAGGCTGAGGCATCTCTGCAAGGGTCGCTGTGAGTTTGAGGCCAGCCTGCGCTACACGGTGAGTTAATTCAAGGCCAGCCTGAAATACATGGAGAAAACTCTGTCTAAGAAGACTGAAAAAGAAGAGAAAAGAAGAAAAGAGAAGAGAGGAGAAGAGAGGAGAAGAGAGGAGAAGAGAGGAGAAGAGAGGAGAAGAGAGGAGAAGAGAGGAGAAGAGAGGAGAGGAGAGGAGAGGAGAGGAGAGGAAAGAAACTGATAACTCTCAGAGCTCCTCCTTAATTCCACACAGCCACATGACTACCTCTTCACTATTTTGGAGAAGTCTGACCAAAAAGGCACCAGGAATAGCAGAGGATGATATAGAGGCAAGGCCAGGTGAAAGTCTCTCCCCTGCAGAGAAAGATCTCAAACCCACTCCCTGCACCTCAGCTCCCAGAATGCTGGTAGCAAAGCCACTATCCCCAGGCAGAAGAATAAAGGATTCCTCTCCAGCTAAATTGATCTTCCCAGTTGAAGAGTCATCAATCCTGGCATTTGAGGATCTTCAAATGAAGGGGCTGAGCTACAACCTCGTCATCCCAATATGAAGCCCCCCGGCCAACAGAATATCCAATTGGCTTTTTAGCATTTTACTCATAGGAAAAATCAGTCAAGAATCATCAGATATTTTAGGAATATTAAATATATATGTCCAGTCAAATAGGGAAACAGAACCTTGGAGGAAACACATAATACAGAGGAAAAAGAGAAGTTGGACTCTTATCATTAATTTCCTCACGGAGATAAGAAAAGCACCTATAAAATGAGAACAGGGTCTTACTAAAAAAAAGACTGAAGTAAAATTCTTGAAAAATTAAAATATGAAAGCAGAAATTTAAAACAGAATCTTGTAGAAAGATTTGAATAAAAACATGGAAAAACTTCCAAGAAAGTAGAACAAATATACAAGGAAAAAATAGTTACAGGATCAATCCCAGAATTACAGCAGCCAAGTAATAGGATTTGCAAAGAGAGAAAGAACAGAGAAAATGGAGGAAAAAAAAATATATATATATATTTAAAATTTTCTCAGAATCAAAGAACTTGAATGCCCATCTTGAAAAGGCTGAGTGCACAGCACAGCAGGTGGGAAACCCTTATCAGGCAATTCCAGATTGCCAGGGACTAGCAGATCCTGCAAACTTCCAGGGAGCTTTCACAGATTTCACACAAAGGATCAATAATAAGAATGCAAACAATAGACACTAATGTGGACACTGAATTCTATAATGAGCCAGATTCTCAACAAAGACGAAAGGTCAAGACATTTTCAGGCATGCAAAATTTTTAAAAACCTATATCTTATTTTAAGTGCAAATTTGAAAAGGACAAGACCTCTCTATCAAATCAGGAGCGCAGCAAAGGGAATTTGTAGGCTGCTGGGAAAGGACCAACAGAGGGAGGAGCTGTGGGCCGGGGCTGGGGGGCAGGGTCAGGCTCTCCTAGACTCAGGGAAACCTCAGAAGAGGCTGGAGAGAGAAGAAACCTCAGCTGAGAACGTCCTGCTGTATTTTGAGCACACTGAAAGGATTTTAGAGAGTTCTTCCAGGGGCTGCAGAACCAAAGAAAATATAATCAAAGTATGTCATAGGACTCTTGGTGAATCATATGTAGGTAGATATCCATAGTCACAATAACATAAACATGTAATACTGATTTAAACTGTGATGAAACTATTTTAAGGGCATAGGGGAGAGGGTGTGTGTGTGTGTGCACACACACATACACACGGGGTAGGGGCGTACAGACAGCTGAAACCTAGGCTTCCATAGTGGGAAGTCAAAAGCCTCTGTCTAAACTTGGCATATCAAGAAACAGCGGCACACACTTCATTTTTCAGAATATGAGGGAGGAGGCGTGAGAATAAACAACGAGGAGAGTTGAGAATTGTGACCCCTCGCAAGTGGGACTAAGAAATGGGAAGTCAAGAGATGAGGAAATGATGTCTTTCATTACAAACTGATTGGCGATGAAGTTTTCATACAAATCATGCCTACTACTTTGACAACTGAGAAAAAGCCTCAGAAATGTTGCCTACTGGGTAACCAATGGCTGCTCAATACTTTACCTATTAAATCCAGAAGCTGCCAAAAGATCCATTTTGTTTAGGTAGCATCAAGCTCTCCAGAACAATGTGTCAGAGAATCTGTCTGGTTCCCACCCCCTCAGGCACGGCAGCTACTTCTCTCTCCTGTCCAGCTCCACTGTTGGGGCTGCTGGCAGAGTGTCCCCTGTCCCACAGCCAAGTGCCACTCTTCTCCATTCATCTCCTTTACTGCTAACGCTGGCTGAGTCACAGAAATGGCAAGTTGGACACAAAACAGACAAATCCCCATGCGAGGCTGGAGGCTGCCCAAAGTGCTTCTCTCATAAGGGGACTGACATTCCCTGGCCACCCACTACGTCTCAGGCCCTGGACGTTGGGCATTTTTGCCTATCACTGTCTTAATTAAGCTTCCCAACAACCCTAAGAAGTAGATTTTATTGCATCCATTTTGAAGGAAGACCTAGAGATACAGTCTCTGCGGCCAGGTCTCACAGCCGGCTGGGGCAGCACTTGGACATTAACCTGGTTATCCTGATGGCCTGGTGGGCACTCTTCCCACCGTGCCAGGAGTCTCGGACGGCAGTGAAGCGACAGCTGTGGGCGAAGAACAGCCACACCCTGGCTTAGCAGCTGGCCCTCTGGTCTGAGGGCACGTGGCCCCGAGCCCAGGCTTAGTGCAGTGAGCCAAGGCAAAAGGGCAACAGCAGTGACCGGGGAGGGGAGAGAGGATGCCTGCTTACCCATGAGCAGCCTCCGTTTCACTCGCTTGTCTCCGTCTGCCACTGATGTGGCATTGCTCTCTGTCACCTCCAGGCCAGTGTCCTCTCGCTCTATAAGAGAAGCAAAGACCAAATTCCTAGGCCGAATGAGGCAGACTACCCATCCCCTGCATAACCACTTCTGCTGGAATTCCAGATGTGAGGACAACGGAGGAGGTGATTCTGTTCACTGTTTATGTCCTGGCGGAGTTCTGTTGGAATTGCCATATTAAATGGCCACAGATCCTTACAAACATTCCACACGGAGAAGGTTTTGGAAGTCAAATCCTCCCATTGCACTGACCAGGGAGATGCTGGGGAATGCAAGCTTCAGACTCACTCCAGGAACCTTACGCTAGGGTGAAAAGAACCTTGGGTCTAGAAACCTCTAAAATAGAAGAGCTCATGAGCCAGGCATGGTGGTGCACTCCTGTGATCCCAGCACTTGGGAGGCTGAGGCAGGAAAATCATTGCAAGTTCGAGACCAGCCTGGGCTACAAAGTGAGCTCAAGGCCAGCCCGAACTGCATAGCAAGACCCTGTTCCAAAAAACAAAAGCAAAAAATAAAATAGAGCTCATGAAGGATGCACTCTGCAGGACTGGGTGGACACCCTGCTGGAAATACGTGTCCCCCACTCCTGCTGTCCAGAAAGCCTACCACGCTGTCACAAACAGCTGGTTCTAACTTCGTGTCACCCTGACCCTGTGGGATGCATTGTCACAATCTCCAGAATATCAGCTTTAGGAGCAGCCTAGGGCAGGGGAGGAGGAAGGGCTTTCCAAGGTCGCACAGGGAGAGTGGGACTTCCACCCCAAAGCTAGAGCCTTCCCATAGCAGCTTGTGGAGCAGCCCCGTGCACCTGAGAGCAAGTGCACAGAACCGGCACCAAGGGGTAGGGTGGAGGTCAGGGTTTGCACTGAGGAGGGGTAGGCTGAGGCAGAATCACCCGGCGTGGGGTCACCACTCACCAAAACAGCTCCTCCCATCTGTGTGCAACTTGTACTGTGGGTGGCAGCTACACTCAGGGCCCTCAGCTGTGTCTTCACAGGAGTGCTGACACCCACCGTTTCCATGGTTACAGGTCACTGGAAACAAAGTGAATCAATGCATAAAGCAGTGAGGTTTCCACAACCAGGGCTGTGTTTGCTCCTGAGGAATTCTGATTTTTCTTTCTGCAAGGATCTGAGCACCTCATATGTGCTAGGTGTTAAGCATAAAATTGATAACTGCCATTCAGACTCTATCCATATGTGCATAAGCAAACAGTCAGGATACAGGGTGTGAAAATGCTGAAATCGAGGTTTGACTAAGTCACACAGAAGGATGGAAATGTGTGTGTGTGTGGAGGGGAGATCACTAATTAGGAGGAGTTATACCAAAACTCTAGACTACTCTGTTCTATCTACAGAAGTTTGCCTGTTATCACAGCTACCTTCTAGCTTTGAGAAATAGCACTACATAACTGGAATAAAGGGACATTATTTAACTTGTACATATGTTAGGATTTCTCTCAGTAGACTCCATCTGGATTCATTAAAAGAAAAGATAATCAGAGGAAATGACAATTCTGAAGACAATTAATGCAAATTAACCGATAATTATGAAGACCGTATGAATGCATTGGTGACAGGCCAAAAATAAATTTTAAAAGCCAGCTATGAAACTATCTATTCCTCAGACTGTGAACAGAGTTACCTCTGGCACAGGAAATGGGAGGGGGAGGTTACATGTTGTCTTTATACATTTGGGAGTGTTTGAATTCTTACATAGGCCTTTGTAATTTTTTTAATTTAAAAGAACTAATTACATATTTGCAAAGTGGAAAGGAAGCTGTTCTATGATTATAGGTGTATAAAATTGTGTACATATGTAAATTCCAACTAAATCAGAATATGGAAAAAAATTGAAACAACTAGTTATGTGGTGGAATTCTGGGTCTTTTCTTTTCTTTTTTGAATCCTCAAATGCTATAATAACAATACTATTTAAGCGGCGATCTCTTACAAACATTTAAATTTTTAAAAAATTATTTTCCAGGTGTTCTTATTCCAGCAGTTGGCCCCTGCAAAACTGCAGGGCTGAGAGTCTGACTGCACAGGAAAGTCTGGCGTCCTGTGGCGTCCTCCTCTCAAAGAACTGGAAAGTAGAAAAGTGCCCTCAGTTCTGCTCAACTCCTGGAACCCCCAGTGGGCAGCCTCACACCGGGGGTCAGTAAGAGCCCATCAGAATCTGTTGTTTGAGGGGACGGCGGCATCAGCGCTGGGTTGGCAGGTTTGGAGACCACACTTTGTTTCAGGCTGGAGACAAGGAGAAAAGCCTCTCATGGGCAAACCAGTTCCTCGTGGTAAACAAGCATCCGTAGCAAGCTTTGAGGGTCTCTGCCCACAGCTTTGGAAAGACTTCCTGAAGGGAAACCCTCTATTTTCTCTAGCGTAAGTAGTGGTTTAGGGACACCATTAATTGCGAGTTGTTTCTTGCTGTCCATTAGGGTTTTGTTACCACAACCATTATGTGGCAGCTGTGTCCATATTGTATACACCCCCCCTCACCCAAGCATTAAACAAGTGCACACTGAGCACATCCTGCGGTGGGCACCAGGGAAAAACTGAGAAGCAAAAATGAGACAAGGTTCCTGACTAGTTCATAGCTGGGGAGACAGACATCAAAGCACACAATTCAATCCAGTGTCATGCAGTATGATCAAGGAATAAACAAAGTGCTATGGGAGCCGAGATACAAAATGGCTGCCCTGTTTGAGGCCATGGAAAGTCTTCTGACGAAGAGCAGTGTGGTGATTTGAACATGGCTTTGGAGTTGGGAGGACATAGGATTGAAAATTAATTTGCCACTTACCCCTGGTATGACCTTGTTTCTTTACCTTATTCACAATTTTCTTAACTGAAAATGTGAATGATAATACTTAGCTCATAAGGGGTCTTGTAGGAATTGAAGGGGATGTGGTACCATCTTGAGACAAGCCTTTGCATGTAATAAATCTTTTTAAAAAGTACCTGCAATCTTTATCATTATTAGAAGTTAGACAGGATGTTGACGTTGAGGGAACATTCAGCACACCAGGAATGGAGGAGGGCTGGAAAAGGCTGAGAGGAATAAGGGGTGTTCTCCAAAGGGCAAGGAACTTAGTGTCTGCAGAAAGGAAGCGGATGAAGAGTATAAAGGAAGCAGGGACCAGCTATCAAAAAGCTGTGATTGCCAGCTGAGGAAATCTGACTTGATTCTATGGGAACTGGGAGACTGTCCCCCACATTCACATTGTTTACTGCTTAATTTCATTCCTTTTTCATTAGTTCCTTATAAAGCATGCTCCCCTTCCACAGGGGAGTACTCTTCTTCAGTGGACATGGCACTTGGTGGAGGACAGTGTCCGTGCCAGCTGCTGCGCCTGAGGATGCATCCCTGTGCCCCGGAGCAGCATTTCTGATGCTGGCCTGTAGAAGGCCGCTTCTGGGGTACCGTGTCCCCAGTGTGACCGAGCAGCCACTCCTACTTACAGATGCAGTCTCTCTGATTCTTGGCCAGCTCAAAACCAGGTCTACACTCGCAGGCGACGCTGCCCCTCGGGGCCTCCTTGCAGATGTGGCTACAGCCGTGATCCTTATTCATGCAACTCAGGCCCTCTGCAAAACAGCAGCACGCGGCAGCAGGTGACTAGGCTGCAGACAGAATTCTGAGCCCCAGGGGAAGTGCAAAGGACTGGGGGGTAGGGAGGGCCACAGACCCACCCTGCTTGGTTTCCATTAGCCCCACATTTTAAAAAAATACGAGCTAC